ATCCCCCCCTGGGGGGATGACCAGGCTGCAGTCCCTTCTCCTGGGCATGTGTTTAAGCCACTGACCCGGGACTTGAACCACAGTTTACTACGTGGGATTCTAGCGACATAGCCATTACACTAACTGCTGGTCCCTGGTGTTGGTAAATTCTTTCAGGTTTTGTTTATCCCAGAATGTTCTTGTCTTTTCTTCCTATATGAAGGATTATCTTGCTGGGTACAGTATTCTTGGTTGATATTGCTTTTCCCTTATCACTTTGAATATATTTTCCCATTCTTTCCTTGCTCGCATTGTTTCTGATGAGAGGTCCGCTGTCAGCCTGATGGGATATCCTTTGTAGGTAACTTGCCGTTTCTCTCTTGCCAATCTTAGTGTCTTGTCTTTGTCTGTGGTTTTGGTCAATCTGGCTATAATGTGTCTTGGAGAAGATCTTCTTTGGTTGATTCTATTTGGAATCTTTGGTATTTTTTGGGTCTGGATCTTTGAATGCCTCTCTAGGTTTGGAAAGGTTTCTTGCAGGATTTCATGGAATAGATTATCAAAGCCCTTATGAGTCTCTTCGTCTTCTGGGATACCAATTATATGGATGTTTGTACATATGATGGTATCTAGTATTTCTTGTATATTATTCTTATTTTGGGGGGCAATTTTCTCAGCCTTTGTGGTGAATTTTTCTAGGCCAGTGATTCTGTCTTCTACATCTAAAATTTGAGTTTCTGGATGATCTAGTCTGCTTGTAATACTTTCAAGGGAGGAGATCAGCGGTTGGCATAATGGCTATGTTGCTGGATTCCCATGCATTCGACAGTGGTTCGAGTCCCGGACCCAGTGGCTTAAATTCACATTCAGTATCCTGAAGAAGAGTTATTCTTTTCCCTTGGGACTGAGAGAGGTATTATCTTGATTTCTAATATTTCTTGTATCTCTGTGGTGATTTCTAGTTAAGTAATGGGTTATATGTTTCTTCCTAAATTCTAGAAGTTCAATCTGAGCGTTCTGGGGCATGCAGTAGGAGGTTATCAGCAATCTCTTTACTGTTCTGTTTTTATCCCTTTGTGCAGCAGATTCAGTGGGTATTGAGGAATATGTTGACTCTAATAGTATTCAGATGTTTGGCTATGGTTCCCTTAGATCTGTCTAGACAGTGCATGAAGGCTGAGCAGGAAAGTGATGAGGTAAAAAGAAAACAGAGAAAGAGAAAAGAGTGAGAGAGAGAGAAAGAAAAAAAAACAACAAAAAAATTTTTAAAAGCAAAAATGAAAACCATGCAGCACACAAGCTTGCCACATGAAAGCACTAGTTCTCAGCTGTAGTGGAGGAAATCTTCATCTGAAGGCCTGTCCCTTGCTGCTCCTAAATGGGAGGGGGGAAAGGAGGATTATTAGCAAAATAAAAGAGGATCTGAAACCCAAGAGAATACTTTAACTTAAAAAATTTTAAAAAATTAAAAATTACAAAAAATGAGAAGACATAGAGAGGCAGAGAGACAGAGAGGATACAAGGGGTGCCCTACCACTCTTGACTGGGGTCTGGAGGCTGAATTTTCAGTAGAAAATAATAATTTCTCTTATACCCTGAAAGCACTCATTCTCAGCTGCAATGGAAGAGTCCTCTTGCTGTATGTTTTGGGAGTTACTTCTGAGTCTCCCTTCTGTTCCATTGGTCCACATGTCTGTTTTTGTGCCAGTACCATGCTGTTTTGATTATCATAGCTTTGGAATATATTTTGGGGTCAGGGAGTGAGATGCTTCTTACTCCACTCTTCTTGTGCAAGATGGCTTTGGCAGTACATTTTTTTCTTTTATAGAGAGATTTTTGCTATAGATCATGTGTACTTATGTGAGAGACAAAGAGAGATGAGAGACAGATAGCAAGAAATAGTTCCCTGGGGGAATAGCCACACTGCAGTCCCTTCTCCTCCATTCTCTTGGGATTTTGGGCTCACATATGCTCAGCATGAGTTTTAGTCCTTTGGGTCCAGGACTCAAACCACAGTCAACTACATGGGAGTCCAGCTATGTAACTATTATGCCATATGCTGGTCCTCATTATTCAGGGTCTTTTATGTTTCCAGACAAATTCTGTGATTGTCTATTCTAGATCTGTGAAGAATGTCTCTGGTAATTTGATTGGGATTGTATGAAATATGTAGATATTTCTTACAGTCTTTTCTTGAAAAATGTGCACCACTAGCATCCAAGAGGGGAATGTTATATACAACATTTCCCAGAATTATGACCGATGACCACACTTTCACCTCACCTTCTTTATTATTTATTTAGTTTTGTTTGTTCATTTATTTACAGAACTTTCCTTTCTTAAAGGTTCTTTGCCATAGGGTGCCTATACTTGCTGGAGAGAGACAGAGAGACAGTGAGAGGGAAAGTGAGAAATCACCCCCCAGGTGGGGTGATCATGGCATGATCCCTTCTCCTGCATTCTCCTCTTGGGATTTTGGGTGTACATGCCACATATATGGCATGATTTTTTTCTTTTCTTTCTTTTTTTTTTGATATCTTTGAATCTTCTATGTATAAAATTATATAATCTACAAAAAGATAATTTCATATCTTCTTTTCCTATTTGAATGACTTTTATTTTATTATTTTTATTTATTAATGCATTGGCTAGGACTTCTAGCACTATATTGAAAAGAAGTGGAGAAAGTGGGCAGCCTTGTCTTTTCCAGTTTTTCATGGAAAAGCTTTCAGCTTTTACTCATTCAATATTAATGGAAGCCATAGGATTTTCATAGATGGCTTCTATTGTGTTGAGAAATGTTCCTTCTATGCCAATTTTGCTGAGAGTCTTAATCATGAAGGGATGTAGTATTTTATCAAATGCTTTTTCTGCATCAATTGATATGATCATGTGGTTTTTATCTTTCTTTCTGTTAGTATGGTGTATTACATTTATGGTTTTACATATGTTGAGCAATCCTTGCATCCCTGGAGTAAAGCCTACCTGGTCATGATGTATAATCATTTTTATATGTTGTTGGATAAGACTTGCTAATATCTTGTTGAGAATTTTTGCATCTATATTCATCAGATATATTGGTCTGTAGTTTTCTTTTTTGTCATATCCTTATCTGTTTTGCAGATAAGAGTGATGGAGGCTTTATAAAATGAATTCGAAAGAGTTCCTTCCTTTTGGATCTTTAGAAATAATTTGAGTGAAATGGAGGTTTGCAAACTTTTTCTTCCAGTTTGTAACTCTATTTTTCATCCTCTTAAAAACTCTCTTTGTATCAGTCAATTACATTTGCTCCTTTTGTCAAAAGTCAGTTGGGAGGCAGGACTTCTGGAATAGTGAATGTAAGATATTCATAAGTCCACCCTCAAAAACAAAACAAAACAGGCACATAGGCAAGAAGGAGAAGAAAAGGATAACTTTTTCAGAACTCTGGAAATTAACCGAAGACCTTAAACAATCTAAACATCATGTATTCAAGAAAAACAGCTGGACTTTGGTAAGAAGAGCCAGATTTGTGGCATTTTAACTTGACCTAATTACCATCTCTCCTTTCCTAACTTTATTTTAGCTTTGAAAACTAGCAGCTTTGCCACCAAGACATCTATGTAAACCAGCAGGCTTGCAGCTTTTAGAAAGGATAGATTGGGTTTGATGCTCTTCAAAAAGTCCCATTCTAAGAATTATCACTATTTGACCTGTTTAAGTGCTCTCTGGGAAAGACCTATACACAAGTGTTGTCATTATTTGACCTGGTGGGGAGCTCATTCTCTGGGAAAAGCCTTATCTGTAGGGCATTTGTTAAAAACAGTTGTAATTGTTTGACCTTATACTTGCTTGAGGTGGCAATACCAGTTTGTGCAAACAAAATGCCAGACTGTAAATGTAAAAGGATGATCTGGGGAATGAGGTGTCAATATGGGGTTTTCAATTAGCAGTAATCACGCCTCGGATGAACCTCATTGGCTACGATACTGCCACTGCGCAAAGCTCAATATGGGGTTTTGTAAAGCTCTGATATTTTCCTGGTGATGCATAAAAATGTGCATGTGCAGAAAGCTGTGCATTCCCAGGAAAAACATGAGAGGGCCCTAATTTTTCATCTCTAATTGACTTTGCCATCCATCCTAAAGAAGCAGAAATTAAAGTAGAGGCAGAGTTGTCAGATGCCTGGCTGAGTGTGGAAAATATAGCCTAAGTTGCACACAAAGCACAACAAAGACTGGGGAATTTATTCTTTCCAGGTGTGCATGTAAATCTGTCCAATAATTGTCTGGTAAGTTGACTGAGCAGTGAATTCAGTTGCCACACATGGGAGGGAATACAGATTCTATAGAGTTAGTCCAGAAATGTCACTAAATAGCAGAAAAACAATAACTACAAACAGTAATAAAGCAAACCTTGTGGACATAGAAGAATCTGATTTCTAGAGCTTTTACATTTGAATATTAAAATTGACTAATTTTCAACAAAAAATATGAGGCATGCAAATAAAAATAAGATAGCATTGCCCACACACAGGAAAGAAAAGCAATCAATAGAAATGATCTCTGATGGAACCAGCAGATGGCATAATGGTTATGTTGCTGGACTCCCACATGGCTGACCGAGGTTCAAGTCCTGGACCTGGAGGCTTGAAACTCATGCCGGACATGTGTGTGTGCCAAAAGTCCTGAGAAGAGAATGGAGGAGAAGGGACTGTAGTGGCCATCCGCTCGAGGGATGATTTCTTGCTTTCTGTTTCCTCTGTCTCTCCGTGAGTGCTTGTGTTCTATAGCAAAAGTCTCTCTCTCTCTCAAAAAAAAAGAAAAAGAAAAAGATTATCTATGAAGAAGCTCATACATTGGATTCATTAGGCAAAGACTCAAAGACTTTGCATCAGCTTTTTTTTTAAGTATTTTTTTTCCCATTAGAGCAAGAAACAGAGAGGGAGAGAGAGAGAAAAGAAAAAAAAACACTCAACTGGGTCTCATGGCGTGATAGCCCTCTTCCCCAGCCCTCCCAGTGAGCCCAGAACATGGGCATATGTGTCCAGCCTGCATAAGTCAACCAGAAAATTGAAGCTGTTATCTTCCATATGGATCCAGCACCACCTGAGCAGCATGTTACTCTGGTGCCAATAGGCTTGCCTTAATCAGTTGTTTTAAATATGTTCAAAGAACTAAGGGAAACCAGTTCCAAAGAATTAAAAGTAAGGCAGACAACTTCTTTGCATCCTAGAGGCTGCTTCTAGTGACTCTGTAGCTGTCACCATGCCACAAAATGAATATATTGAATTACATTGTAAATGCTATGGATACCGTTTGGATTACCATGAGAAAAAGAGAGAGAAGGAAAGCCAGGAGGCTCAAGAACATTCAAAAAAGGCAAAAAAGATGATTTGTCTGAAGGCTAAGCTCTATCATAAACAACACCATGCTGAGAAAATACGAATGAAAGAGACTATCAAGATGCATGAGAAGAGGAACACCAAACAAAAAAATGATGAAAAGATTCCACAAGGAGTAGCACTAGCCTATCTGTTGGACAGAGAAGGACAGTTCCTAGCTAAAGTGCTTTCCAATATGATTAAACAAAAATGGAAAGAGAAAGCAAGACAATGGGAAGTCCCTCTACCCAAAGTTCAAGCCCAGGGAGAAACAGAAGTATTAAAAGTTATTCGAACAGGAAAGAGAAAAAAGGCATGGAAGAGGATGATTACAAAAGTCGGCTTTGTGGGAGATGGCTTCACTAGAAAACCACCTCAATATGAAAGATTCATTAGGCCAATGGGCTTCCGTTTCAAGAAGGCCCATGTAACACATCCTGAACTGAAAGCCACCTTTTGCCTGCCAATACTTGGTATAAAGAAGAATCCCTCATCCCCACTTTATACAACTTTGGGCATTATCATCAAAGGTACTGTCACTGAGGTGAACGTGAGTGAGTTGGGCCTTGTGACACAAGGAGGCAAGGTTATTTGGGGGAAATAAGCCCACGTTACCAACAACCCTGAAAATGATGGATGAATAAATGCTGTCTCACTGGTTTGATAGCAGTTGCATATAAATAACTCCTTGTAATTTTTGAAAATGATACTCCAATCTGGAAAACCATCATGACTGATGTTTCTGAATATAGCTGGTCTTACATGTCTGCAGTCATCAAAGATTATTAAATTGTACAAAAACATTAAAGTGGCCTGGCTTTACCAAAAAAAAAAAAAGTTGAAAGGCAATAATATCTCACCAAAGAGAATATTAATACAAAGATTAAAATTGTACAGTGTTTCATTAGATACAATGAAGTAGAAATGTACAATAACTGAAGGGGGCAAAATCTTTACTAGAAGGGCTCAATAGTAGATTTGAGTTGGCAGAATAAAGAATTAATGAACTTGAACACTCGTAAATTGAAAATATCCAACTGAGGAACAGAAAGTAAGAAAAAGAAAGAAAGAAAGAAAGAAAAATTAACAGAACTTAAAACACTTGTGGGACAACATCTATCATACTACATGCATCATGAAATTTTCAGAAAGAAAAATAACTAGAAAGAATATTTTAAGAAATAATGACAGGAATTGGCCCCATAGCTTAGTGGTTAAGGATGCCAGAACCCACATGGCTGGCCCTGGTTCAAATCCCTGCCCTGGTAGCTTGAGAAACATACCAAGCACATATGTATGATGCCCCAAACCCCAATAGGATGGAGAAATGGAAGAAGGGATTGTGGTATGGCCACACCCCATTGAGGGTGCTTTCTCTCTCTCTCTCTTTCTTTCTCTCACTGGTGAATGCACACACCTTCTAGCAATTAAATAAAAAAGAGGTATAATTAAAGAAAACTCTTCAAGTTTGATTAAAAATTAATTTACACATTCAAGAAAGTCAAACAAAACTGAAATTCAAACAGAATCTTGAAAATGGCAAGAGCTTACTAGCCCAACATAAACAGGGGACCTAAAGTAAAATTTAACACTTAATTGCTCATCAGGAACCATGGAAGCTCAGAGGTAGTGAGAAGACAAATTCAAAATAAAACTCCTCCCACAAAACAAAACAGAAAAAAAAGAAAGAAGGAAGAAAAAAGACAACCCCAAGCTCCTGTCAACTTAGTTAACTCCTGTCAACATTTATATTGGGCTATATTGGGTGAAACTAATTCAAAATTAAGGCCAAATTAAGATATTGCCAGATAAATGAAAACTAAATCATTTATTGCTAGCATTTATGTCCTAGAAGAAATGCTAAATGTAGTCCTACAAGTTCTAGTGAAAAGAGTCTTGACAAAAATCTCATATAAATATATTAGAGAATTAGTGTATTTTTTGTTTCTAATTCCTCTTTTTCCCTATCTAATTAAAAAATAACTCCATAAAACAATAATTATTCATCAATTTTGATGGACACACAATGTATAAAGATCTATTTTACAGTAGCATAATGGGAGAGAGAATGGAACTATATAGTAGCATAGTTTTTGTATACTTTTGAAATTGAATTGGTATCAGGGACTAGAAGATGGCATAATGGTTTTACGTTGCTGGACTCCCATGTAGTCAACTTGAATAGCACTAGAGAACAATTAGACTTAAAAGACATCTATAGGGAACCAGCAGTTAGTGTAATGGCTATGTCGCTGGACTCCCACGTAGTCGACCATGGTTCGCATCCCGGACCCGGTGGCTTAAAACTCACGCCGGGTGCGTGTGCGTGTGTGTGCCCAAGATCCCAGGAGGAGAATGGAGGACAAGGGATTGTGGCATGACCATCCCCCCTGGGGGGTGATTTCTCGCTTTCTGTCTCTATGTCTCTCTCTGTCTGGCGAGCACACGCACCCTATAGTGAAAACCTCTCAAAAAAAAAAAGACATCTATAGAATATTCTACCCAACAACAGCAAATTATATATTCTTCTCAACTGCACATGAAATATTACTCAGGATAGAGCATAAAGCATAGGTGAGGCCTCTAATTTTAAAATAATTGAAACCATACAGTTTGTATTAGTCAGTGTTTCCCAGAAAAACAGAACAAATAGTGTATATGTGTGTATGTGTGTGAGGGAGGAAGGGAGGTAGAGAGAGAGAGAGACAGGCAGAGGCAGAGGCAGACAGATAGGAGGGAAGATGGGAAGTAGCAAGAGGAAGGAGAGAAGCTTAATTTATTAAAATTTGGAATGAAAAGAGGACATATTGCTACTGATTTACAGAAGGAAAATTATCAGGGAATATTATAAATAAGTGCAAGCCAAGAAATTAGACAGCCTAGCTGACATAGATAAATTTCTAGGAAAGTACATACTATCAAAACCAACTTGGGGAAAAAATGGAAATCTGAATAGATCTATAATAGTAAATAGATTTTATTAGTAACACAGAAATGTTCCACCAAAAAGAACTTAGGCTCACATGGTTTTTATGATAAATTTTACCAGGTGTTTAAAAAGAGGTAGTACCAATCACAAACTCTTCCAAAAATTCAGAGTAGGGAACACTTCCCAACTCATTCTATCAGGAGTCTTCAACAAGTTATGGACATGCATATTGTAAAAAAGAAACAAACACACAAAACTATACATGGATTTCAAAATATTTTGCACCAAAATAAACTCATATTTTAATCCTATTATCCATGAACTTTTGAAGTTCCCTTGTATTAGGCATTATTACACTAAAGACACACAGGGAAGAAAACTGTAGACCAATATTCTCTGTGAAAATAGACACAAAAATCCTCAACAAAATGATAGGAAATGGAATCCAACAACACATGAAAAAATTACCTCACCAGGTGGGATTAATCTCAGGCATGTAAGATTGTTTTACTATATCAATCAATGTAATACATTGTGTTAATAGAATAAAGGGGGGGAAACCCCACATGTTCAACAGATGCAGAAAAGCATTTGAAAAAAAATCCGACAGTCTTTATGATGAAAAAAATATCACCTAACTAGGAATAGAAGGGAACAAATAGGATAAGTATTTAAGTAGCTGTTTCTCCAATGAA